ATGAGGCCAAAAGGCAATTTGAAGGAAGACTTCAAAACAACGAGAGGCCTGGACACAGTCGATGAGGCAAAAATATTCCCACTTGGGAAAGAATAGAGAACAAGGGATAACAAAGTTAAAGTAATTAGAACAAGATGCAAACATCTTTGAGGAATAAAATATGACTCAAACAGTGTCTGGAACATACTGTCTGAGAGTGTGTGGGAGAGGCAGGTTCACTCGAGTGGTTAAGGTCTGGAATGTACTGTCTGAAAGTGTGGGGGGGAGGCAGGTTCACTCGAGTGTTTAGGGTCTGGAATGTACTGTCTGAGAGTGTGTAGGGGAGGCAGGTTCACTCGAGGGGTTAGTGTCTGGAAAGTACTGTCTGAGAGTGTGGGGGGAGGCAGGTTCACTCGAGGGGTTAGGATCTGGAATGTACTGTCTAAGAGTGTGGGGGAGGCAGGTTCACTTGAGGGGTTAGGGTCTGGAATGTACTGTCTGAGAGTGTGTGGGGGAGGCAGGTTCACTTGAGGGATTAGGGTCTGCAACGTACTGTCTGAGAGTGTGGGGGTGAAGTAGATTCTCTTAAAGCATTCAAAGGGACTTGGATAATTATTCAAAAATGAATTACTTGGCTAGTGGGGGGGGGTCTTGAGCAGAAGGTGGGACAATGGCATTCAGTGAATTTCTCATTTGGAGAGCTGTTCAGTCATGACAGGGGTGGAATATCCCCTTTCTGGTCCTAAAGAATTCTGTGACTCTGGAGAGAAAGTCAGTCTGTCATGTCTAAAGAACGAGAATTTGTATTATGCAATAGTTCACCATGAGGAACTCTGACCATGTGACACTGAGAGGAACTTTCAATTTCACTCATTCCCTGGGGTTTTACTCTGAACGGGGAATGTTGAAGGTCCATTCCAATCTGACAGGCCTGTGAGTGTTTCTCCTATTCAATCAGAAACTGTTAGACCAGCCAGAGAGTCATTTGCCTGTAAAACTGGTGGTGAGTCTAGCTGAAGGGTCACAACACCAGATGAGTTGAGATGTTGAGTCCTAAATAGTAATCTTAGGTGGTGCGACAATTGAAATCACTCTGCATTGCCAACATGCCAGCAGCCAAATGAGCTGTGAGTTTGCAACCTGTGATGAAACTCTCTTGTCAGATGAGAGACTGCCGTCTGACACTGGTAGGTTTCAGGAAGCTCAATTATTTATGTGATTGCACACGATATTATTATTTGTAAGTTTGCCTCAAACTAACACAGACTGCTCTATTCATAGAAACATAGAAAATAGGAGCAGGAGTAGACCTGCCATCCCCTCAAGCCTGCTCTACCCCAGTCAATTTGATCATGGTTGGGCACATAACGCATTACCCTGTTCCCACTTTCTCCCCTTACCCGTTGATTCATTTAGACCTAAGAACCATGTCTACATTGTTCCAAAAATTTTGCATTTTTTTTTGCCTCAATAGTTTCCTGTGGCAGAGAAAGCCACAGGCTCACCAGTCTCTGGGTGAAGACATTTCTCCTCATCTCTGTTGTAAATGGCTTACCTTGTATCTTTAGACTGTGACCTCTACTTCTGGGCTCCTTGGTCATTGGGAACATTCTTCCCGTATATACCCCTGTCTAGTCCTGTTATAATTTAATAGGTTTTTATGACAACCTTCCTCAATTTTCTAAACTCCTGTGAATATAGTCCTAACTGATCCAGTCTCTCCCCATCCATCAGTCCTGCCATCCCAGTAATCAGTCTGGTATACCTTCACTGTACTCCTCCACCACTAGAACATCCTTCCTTAGGTAAGGAGACCAAAACTGCAAACAATATTCCAGGTGCAGTCTCACCAAGGCCACCAACATATTCTACTTCTGCACTTAAATCATCTCGCTATGAAAACATACTTATCTGCTTTCTTCACTGCCAGCTGCACCTGCTTCCTTTCAGAAAAACCTCAGAAGATGAGAACCAGAAGAAAGAGATGCCCCACCATTAATTGAGATTATAAGTGATTTACTTAAAACCATTTCCCAGCAGCATCATGTTTATCTGAGTGTAAAAATCTATCAATTTCAGTCTTGAATTTACTCAAAGACTCACCTTTCCCTACCCTCTGAGGGAGGGAACACAGAGTGTTAGTAAAATAGGGACACAACACAATGAGTTAAAGGAACCAAAAAAAAAAGGGGAGCTCAGTTCTGTTGAGTTTCAAAGGAGTAAGATGAGGCCGAATAGCTTCCAATTTAATTCCAGGAGTATTAGAGGTAAGATAGATGAGCTAAGGGTGTGGATTGATGTGAAATTGTGATGCTGTTGTCATCACAGAGAAGTGGTTGAGGGAGGGGCAGGACTGGAGTTTCAGATCTTCAGCCAAGACAAGTAAAGGGTGTCAAAGACAAAGTGGTGTCACATTATTAATCAAGGAGTCAGTTATTGCAGAAAGGAAGGGTAAGAACTTTAAATGGGGTTAAGTTTTAGAATAAAAAGAGGGCAGTCACACAACTGGGGTTGTATTATAGACCCTCAAAGAGCCATTGGGCAATACAGGAGTCAATCTGAAGACAATTCATTGAGGTGTGTAGGAACAGAAACTGGATAATTATATTCAAGAATTTCAATTTCCCCAATATCAATTGGAATAGTCATAGGGTAAAGGGATTAGAGGGAGTCGGTTTCCTGGAATGTATTCAGCAGAACATTTTATATCAATACAGAGAAGGTTGTACAAGAATGGTGCACTTCTGGATCTAACTCTGGGGAATGAAGCCAGGCCAGTGTTGGAGATAACAGCCTGGGGAGCGTTTTAGTGGTACTGATCACAAACACTGTACGATTTAAATTTGTTATGGAACAGGAAAAAGTTGGTCTGCCAAAAAGGGCTTTGGATTGAGGGAAGGAAGATCTTCTTAAAATAAGGCACAATCTGGCCAAAGTAGACTGCAAACAGCTTCTTGAGGGTAAATCTACAGCAGAACAGTTGCGGGGAGGGGTGGTGTTCGATTTGGAATTGGGGAGAGGACAGGCCAAACATATTCCCTTCGGACTGAGATATCGGAGCAACAAGCCCAGAGCATCCCAGAAGTACTGCCTAGTAACCGGAAAAGAGTGAATTTATTCCTGCTCAGTTTTTTCACCATTAACCAGTTCACAATCCATGTCAGCTTATTTCCCCATCCCATGGGCTTTAGTTTCATTTAGCCATCTTTTGTGTGTGACCTCAATAAAAGCCTTTTAAATCCTAAATGTGTCACATCCACAGGTTCCCCCTCATTATTTTTGCTAGTTAAACACTCAATAAAAACGCTGATGGATCATAAATCCTGCCTCATAGCTTCATCCAATTTCTTCACCGCCTCTTGCATATGTCTATTTATGTACTTAGTATTTTTCCATTATATCACCATTTCATTTTTATATCTGTTGTCTCCATATGACAGTGAATGCCAGCAGATTGTTTCCCTAAATTGATGAATTGAGAACACCAGGGCACATTTCACTGTGTTTGTAGTTTTTGTCTAACCAACCCTTTCACTGACGTTATTTCACCTCCTGGAGCAGGGGACACTTGAACTTGGATCCCATGGTCAGGAGGTTAGGGACACAACTGTTAAAGCTCCTTGGTCAGCGTTTGTAACTGATTGGCTGTCTAGGCCATTTTAGAGGGCAGGGAAGAGTCAATCCCATTGCAGTGGGTCTGGAGTCACATGTAGGCCAGACTAGGACAGGATAGCAGATATGCTTCCTTCAAAGTGATGATGGTGTCTGATGGGTTGTCATGACTGGAGTGGGTCAGGGAGACAAGATTCAGGTAGATGAGACAATGATGGTTGGGGGTGGCGGCGGGTTCGGTGGGGGGGCGTGGGTCAGGAGTTGCGACAGGGCGTGGTCAGCAAAACAATTTGGCAGAACAGGGAGAGTTTAGGAGAGGTTAAGGAGATGAGACAAGGGTAGGGCCCCTTTAGGTGTGTGGGGGGATGACTGGGGACGAGGGGGTCCCTACACCTGGGGTGAAGGTGATGGGGTGTGGGGAAGGGGGTGTGAGCACCTGGAGAACAAGAGGTGAGACCACCACCGATCATCCAGCTGCTACTGGTCCTGTCTTCTCTCTCCCCTCTCCCATCCCCTGACCCCACACCCACTTCTCCCCTCTCTCTCTCTCTCTCTCCACTCCTGTCTTTCCCACCTTCACCCCTCTCCCACTCCTATCCCCTTCCCCTCTCTTCTCATGCCCCTCCTCACTCCCTGTCCTCTCCCCTCTTCCCTCCAGTCCCCCCTCCCTCCCTTCCCGTTCCCCTGCCTCCTCCCATCTCTTCTCTCTCCCATCCCCTCCCCTCTCTCTCCACCATCCTGACCTAAAGTAATCTTTGTCACCCACCACCTTAAACACCTCCCCCTCCATTTTTGATCATTCGCACATCCACCATCACGCACTGACCTTTCTGCCAAAGAGGTTCTGAGCAAGAAATGGTCATCCCTCACTGTCCAGCAGGATGGCTCAGTGGTCACCACTGCGGCTCACAGTGTCCAGGACCTGGGTTTGATCCCAGTCTTGGGTGACAGCCTGCGTGGAGTTTGCACATTCTCCCTGTGTCTGTGTGGGTTACCGTTGAGTGCTCTGGTTTCCTCCCACAGTCCAAAGATGTGCAGGTCAGGTGGATTAGCCATGGGAAATTGTCCATAATTTCCCAGGATCTGCAGCCTAGGTGAATTAGCCATGGGAAATGTGGGATTATGGGAATAAATAGGGTGGGATGCTCTTTAGAGGGTTTGTCAAGGCTCAATGGGCCGAATGGCTCTATCTGCACTGTCAGGGTCCAATGAGTACTGCAGCTAGTGCTGTAATAAGGGAATTCTGCTTCTCTCTATAGGAATTTCTGTTTACTTAATTCTGAACAATGTAACTTATATTGGAAAATTTAGGTCAGGTTTTAACAGTTCCTGAAAGAAGAGAAGTTTTGAGAAATGACTGTTCTGTATATTGTGTTTTTACTTTGTGAATACTTTTTTTTCTTTTGAAGGGAGAAGGTTAGTGTTGGCAGTTTCCCAGCAGAAAACAATACATGGAACAATTTCTGGATCTGTGCTACTACCCATGAAGCAAAACATCAGTCACCCAAATGAAGTGTTTAGTTTGGAGTGGAGAGTAATTCAGAACAAGACAGAAAGATCTATCCTCATATTTTCACCCAGTTCTCCCATCCCATATATCTCAGAATCTTATAAAAACCGAGTGAATTTCTCCCACTCCAAGTCTGAATTATTGCTGAAAAATATCCAGCTGAGTGATGAAGGGATATATGAACTCGAAGCAACGACATCAGATGGAAAATCTACAAAATATGCTGTCATGTTAACAGTTAATGGTAAATTCATTTCACTTCTTTGAATAATCTCAATGGCTGACTCATATTGGAAATATCCCACGTTTGTAAATTTCTGCGCTGTTGGCAGAGTTTATGGTGATAGCTGGCAGGATAGACAGACCACACAGAATGACAAAACCGTTATAGCATTAAGAGAGATCATTCAGCCCCATGTCATGTCTGCGTTTGTCACCTACAAGAGTAACTTATGTCTTGTCATTCCCCCCTTCTCTCATGGTGTGGTGTGTTTTCTCTGTCGCAACCCACTGGTGAAATTGTGCTGATACTCAAACCCACTACTTCTGGGATCATTACAAACCTTCACCCAGAGAGTGGAAAGCCTGCAACATTCTCTGGCACAGAAAGAGGTTGAGCGAAAACATTAAGGATTTAGAAACAAAAACAGAAATTGGTAGAACAGCTGAGTAGGTCTGGCAGCATCTATGGAGAGAAATCAGAGTTAACATTTTGGGTCGAGTGACCCTTTCTGAGAACTCAACCCGAAATGTTAACTCTGATTTGTCTCCACAGATGCTGCCAGGCATGCTAAGCTCTTCCAGCAATTTCTGTTTGTGTTTCTGATTTACAGCATCCACTGTTTATCTGTTTTTAACTTATTAAGGATTCAGATATGGTTCTAAGGGTTAAAGGGATCAAGGGTTTGGGGAGAAAGCAGGAACAGGATACTGAGTTTGATGATCAGTTATGATCATATTGAAAAATGGAGCAGGCTCAAGGGGCTGAATGGCTTACTCCTACGCCTACTTACTATGTGTCTATAACTGGAAACAATAACTCTGTTTCTCTCACCACAGATGTTGCCAGACACGGTTAAGTTTCTCCAGCAATGTCTGTGTTTATTACGACAGGGATCACGGAGATGAGTAGTCGGGCCTCCATTATTTATGGTCTATCTTAATGACCTAAAGTCATAGAGTCATTCAGCATGGAAACAAAACCTTTAGTCCAACTCGTCCAAGTCTGCCAGATATCCGAAACTGAACTAATCCCGTTTCTCTGTGTTTGGCCAATATACCTCTAAACCCTTTCTATTCATGTGTCTGTCCAAATGTCTTTTAAGTGTCTTTTAAATGCTGTAACTGTACCTGTATCTACCACTTCCTCTGGCAGTTCATTCCATATATGCACACCCCTTGTGTGAAAATGCTGCCTAGCAGATCCCTTTTAAATCTTTCTCCTCTCACCTTAAAACTATGCTCTCTAGTTTTTAATTCCCCTACCCCATGGAAGAGACCTTTGCTATTCACACTATAGATACCCCTCATGATTTTATAAATCTCTACAATTGTGTGAGGATGGTGAGGCCTCTTCTGGAGTTCTGTGTCCAGTTCTGGTCTCCCTGTTATAGGAAGGACAGTGACCTTCCAAAATGGCCTCATTAATGTCCAATGCAGCGAAAACATGATGTTGCCAACTCCTATACTCAATGCTCTGAACAATGAAGGCAGCACACCAAATGCCTTCTTCACCACACTGAGCCACTAGGTCTCTCTGTTAGACAACACTCCCCAGGGCCCTACCATTAACTGTGTAAATCCTGCCTGGTTTGTCTTACCATTGAATGAAGGAACTGACTGTATTGTTGTCAAATTTGCTGACAGTTTTAAGGAAAATAAGTTGTGAGGAGGAAACAAAGCGCCTGAAATGGGTTAAACAATCATCTGTTGGTATAGAATTGGAATATTGCTGAAAAGTGAGAAGCATTGTTAAAGATTTTTGTATTGCACTTCCCTGAGGTGTGTCGGATAGTGGGACTGTCACTGGACAAGTATTCCCAGGACCCATGCTAATGCTTTGGAGAACATAGCTACAAATTTCAAGGTCTGAAATCCTGAGATCAATCTTGTGCTGTTGGTGACGATTCATGAACATGGGTCCATATGGCTCACGAAAGCATCCCCAAATCTCCACATGTTACAAGATGTGCATTCCACTTGGCTAAGCTGTTCAGTCATGCCTTAACGTTAAATACCTAAGTTACTTCACTTATTTTATCTTTCATCACATTCATTTACTTTAACTGACTTTAAAAATAACTCTGGTGCTACTGACCATAGACTGGAGATTAGTAGCAAGTCGAAATACTTCACCCTTACTCACAAATCAGTTCCCTCCTTATGCCTATAAATTCTCCCAGTGCTCTTTTAGAAATTCCTATTGTTTAAAATCACGGAGTTGTAACAACAGCCAATAACTCTGAAATTTCTTGGCATGGCATTCAGACATTTTATCAAAACTCTTGTCCAGCAGCCCAAGACACAAGTTCCATCACAAGCCACCATCAGTCATTGTTCCTCTGTCACTCCCTTTCCAATCCAGCTGGACAAATACTGACCACACCTGGTAGCCAAACAGTCCTTCAAAGCACTTCAACCTGTCCAGATATTATTGGTGATCAGTCCAGTTTAGGATCAAAATTCTTGTCACTTGCTGGTCAGAGTTTCAGAATTCACCAGACATCACCCATCAGTCCCATTATGGCTCCCTCAATGTAGCCAAGATTCATTGTCTTGAGCTCAATGGACCTCTGAGAGAGGCTGGTTCCATCAGTGTCTAGATTGCAATTAGTTCTTCCTGCAAATTGGTATCATTTAACTCTAAAAACTAACTGTCAGGCCAAAAAGATTAGGCAGTAATTATAATCTCATTTTCCAGTCAAAAATTCTGCAGCATTGGAATAAGTTATTTCCTACTGACTGGAATGAAGGTGAACGTCACTAGGTTAACAAGTCATAAATCCCTTAGTTCCTGTTTGGGTGGCTTCAGTTCTAGAGTTAGTGTTTACCAGGTTGAGGTAGTCTGGAATATTTTGCTCCTTACACTTCTGAATTAAACTTTTGACTTCATATTCACAGTTGCTGTCTCTATTCCACGCATTGAGGTCTTTCCTGAGGTTCCTCAGATGGGGAACAATGTCACTCTGCAATGCTCCGTTCTAGAGGGGAACTTGGTCCATTACAGCTGGTACAGATGTGAACAATCTCTGTATGATGGTAAAAATTATCGTCTGTCCCACGACAATCGCTCCTTGACTCTACTGAACATACAGGAAAGTGAAGTTGGCACTTACAGATGCCAGGCAAGGAACCACATCAGTGTCAAACACAGAGACTTTGTGCTTCAGATATGTAGTAAGTATATTTCCCGAATCATTCAGATCTGATCGATCTCAGCAAGTCAAAATATTGTGGTTCTTCCATCATCCTCAAAGCATCGAGCAATATTTATTGCAATCACAAACATCTTCCTTCATACTTTATTCAATAAATGACATAGGTAAGGAAAGAGTGTGAATAGGATTTAAGAAATCTACGAAGTGATAGAGATGGGTTCAGTGAGCAGGCAAAGATCTGGAAAATGGACTACGATGTGGGAAAATGTGAAATTATCCATTCTGGCAGAAGAGTAAAGAAGAACCATATTATCTAAATGGTGAGAGATTGCAAGGCTCTGAGATGCAAAGGGATCTGAGTATCCCAGTTGAAGAAACACAGAAAGTTAGTGTGCAGGTACAGTGAGTAATCAAAAAAGATCATAAAATGTACTGATCTATTGTGAGGGGAACTGATAACGGGAATAGGAAGGTGGTGCTTCAGTTATATGGGGTAATAGTGAGACCGTGTCTACACAGATACTGTGGACAGCAGCAGTTTTCAACTAGTCATAAATTGAGTCGGAGAACGCATGGATCGGTATCCAGGCAATTGCATACCTTGGAAAGTCCACCTACATCTGCTTTGGAACAGTTAAATTGCTTAGCAACATCCAAATCAGAACCAATCAATATGGTTAAATGGTCACACGCTTCTAATGGCGTTTGATACTTGGTGCGGCCATTTCAGTGATTGTAGAACCAGTCTTTAACAAAATTTGCTCTGGACTCCAACCTTTACATTTGTGCAAGACCACAACTAGATTGAGAACCTATACTGGGGAACGTTTACAGATTAAGGGAACAACTTTCGTTCCAGTCTGTTATGACAAGTTACCACTGACTGTCATAAAAGGCTCAAGCCCAAGCTTGGTGTGATGAAATTGGTTGAGAAAGATTCACCTAGATTGGCTCAATGTTTCTTGATTAGAAAATAGCTGCCTGAGTGACGTCCAAATTATATACCAGAATGGTTTTTAGTAAGGTGTAGGGAAGATCAAAGGAGCAAAGGCCACTTTGCCTGTTGGCCAGGAAGCAAACCTATGATTCTGCAAGGCCTACTCAATGTTATTTGCTTTACAGGCAAAGTAGAGGCAGAAATCAGGAGGCTGGAAAGTGAAGGAATCATCAAATCAGTCCCAGATTTTACAGAATGGGCAGCACCGGTCGTACTGAATGTGAAGCTCGATGGGTTGGTTTGTCTTTGTGGGGATTTTAATCAAACAACAAACCACTTTTCGCAGCTGAATAAATAAGTACCCAATGCCTTGCATAGACGATTTATATGCAAAGCTGGCAGGGGTGCTGTCCTTCATAAAGCTGGACATGAGCCATGCATATTTGCAATTGTAGGGTTAGATGATGATCTGCAGAAGTATGCTACAATTAATACCCATAAGGGCTTGTACCAAAATATGAGACTGCTATCTGAGGTATTGTCAGCCTGTGCAATATTTCAACAGACAGTGTAGAACATTTTACAAGGTGTACCCCAAGTCGCCATTTTTCTGATGTGCTAACAACTGGGAAGATCCATAAGGAGCACTTACAGAACTTGGACATATTCCTTAGATGTTTCTCCCAGGTGGGCGTACACCTTAGGAGGGAAAAATGTGTGTTCCAGGCACCCCCAGTGACTTACTTCAGCTACAGAGTCGACAACACCAGGTCACACCTATTGAAAGGTAAAGTGAGGGAGATCAAAAGGGACCCCTGCTCCAACGTCTGTACTAGAGCTTAGGTCTTTCCTTCGGCTGGTGAATATATTATGGAAAGTTCAGATATAACTTGGCCCACATCCTGGCACCTTTGCATCAACACTTAGAAAAGGATCAGCCTTGAAAATGATCACGCAGACAAGCTAGAGCTTTCAGGGAAGTGAAGAAACATTATCATCCTCTCAGGTATTGGCACACTATGATCCCAAGTGAGGTCTGGTATTGACATGTGATCCCTCTCCATATGGCATGGTACGGGGTAGGGTTAGCTCATCGGTGGCCTAATGGGGAGGTACGCCCAATAGCGTATGCATTGAGGCCTTGGGCTAATGCAGAGCGTAAATATGCCCAGATAAAAAAGGAAGGTTTGGCAGCCGTATTGGAGTCAGAAAGGTTCACCAATACCTTTATGAATGTAAATCTGTAATGATAACGGGTCGCAAACCCTTGCTAGGGCTACTTAAAGATGACAAGGCACTGTTGCCAACAATTTCAGGCCGAATTTAGCAGTGCGATCTAATACTAAGTGCGTATTCTTACAAGTTGGAACTCCATCCAGGAGGCAGAGTAACAAATGTGGATGCATTGAGCCACCTCCCACTGGCAGATACACCACTGGGGGGGTTCTGGATGTAATACTTTTTGGATAGTCAGTGTGGGCTTGTTGGGCTGAATGGCCTGCTTACACACTGTCGGAATTCTATGATTCTATCTTTTGCAAGACACAGACTTCCAGAAGTGTTGGTCACAGATAATGGGCCATTGTTTACCAGTAGGGAATTTGAGTATTTCCTAAAATTGAATGGCATTTGTGATATAAGGACAACCCCAAACCATCCATCATCCAACAGTCTAGAAGAAAGAGCAGTCCAAGCTTTGAAGGCAGGTTTAAAGAACAGCCCAGACGCCTTTGCCGCTTGAAGAGGAGAATGAATTTCTTCTGAGATGCTCTGGACGCAAGAGGTGAGCTACTGTGTGTTACATGCTGCCCATATCAGAGGCTGAGTTGGGACAAACCAGACCTGATGCTAAAATGCCCCAGAAGGTGCTAAAGAAAAAGAATTGCCCAATGCCCTCAGACTCAGAGGGGGAGGGAACTGGTGTTGGAATGTGGTCAGACTGATGGCCCTCATAGAATATGAGTTCCCCGACTGGGGCTGTAAGCCTGGTCCAATCAGGGAGCCCTGGCTGACAGACATAAACAGAAGTGTCAGAGATTCTGCTCACTCTGACAGCTGGCTCTGAGGAAGCAGGACTAGTGTCAAGGTCTCTCCACATGTAAATAAAGGATGCCTTAATGACATTTGACACTGCATTGGCAGGGTAATGTGATGACCTTTGACACTGCATTGGCAGGGTAATGTGGTGACCTTTGACACAGCATTGGCAGGGTAATGCGATGACCTGTGAAGGTGACCCTTGGTGTTGATGCTGCAATCAGAAGGGACTGAGTAATTTCCAAAAGACTAAAAGATATTGCAGTTGGAAAATGGCTTCAGTTTGAGTGCACTTTCAGATTAGAACTGGACAGAGTATCCAAGGTGAAGTGCTCATTCAGCAGAGGCTAACATCCTGCTTTGCTGAATTCTCCTGTTTCCTGGGCAGTGTTTAATGTTATATTCTTCGTTTCAGCAGCATCAACACCAGTCATTGCACGCTATGTGTACATTGGTTATGGAGGCTACCCTGGATACATTGGTTACATCCTCATCCTTGTGCTATGTTACCAGTGGATAAAAGAATTGCAGAAAAGGTCCAAGGACAATGGTATGTACATAGCCAGAAATAAGACACCAGCACAATACAAATCAAACACAGATATTGTTTGGTGTTGTTTGTGGCTAGAATCGAATACAACTGCAAAGGTGGATAGAAGAAACAGAAGGTGATGAAATTGGGTCAGTCAGTGATGCACTAACAGACACTGTTATAGTTTGGGATCAATCACTGTAATTATAACTGGTAGTTATGTAACTTTTAATTCTGTCAGTCACTATGTGCGTTGTATCAACACGGGTTCTTCTGTTCTTTCACGATATGCCATTAATTTTTGTCAATTTTATGTGCCAGATGTAATTTATGAAAACAGTAAACCAGTAAAGCAGAAGCTTTCAGTCACGGGGTCAGCAGAAACCAAGGTGTACAACATGCAAATGAGCAACAGACGGGGCAGATAAAGCCTGGTGAATCTGTACGGTGCCACAGCAGCAGTCTGTCTGAACAATACAACAGCAGAATACTGCAGCTTCTGGAGATCTGAAATGAAAACAGAAAGTGCAGCAGAAATTCAAAGCAAAAACATTATAAAACCGTAAGATATCAGAGCTGAAGTAGGTCATTCAGCCATTCAATGATATCATGGTTGATCTCAATCCACTTTCCTGCCTTTTGCCCAATACATTTTATTCCCTTCCTGATTACAATCTGTTTCTCTCAGTGCTGAATATACTTAATATCCCAACTTTGGCAGTCCCCTGCAGTAAAGAATTCCACAGATTCACTACTCTCTGAAAAGATATCCACCTCATCTGTATGAAATGGATGGCCCTTTATTTTGAAATGATGTCCTCTGGACCTAGACATTCCCTGCAAGACTCTCTCTGCATCTCTCCTGTCAAGTCACTTCAGAATCTTGTATGTTTCAATAAAGTCACTTCTCATTCTTCTAACTCCAATCAGTACTGGCCCAACCTACTCAATGTCTCCTCATAAGACAGTTCCTCCATACCTTCAGTTCAACAACTTCAGAAGTCTGTCTTCCATTTTGTTCACCCTTCGGAAATGAACTGCTTCTGAGTGTTTGGTTTCCTTGGGTTTGCTTTCAGCCAAGTTAACTCATAATCTGTCATTAACACCCACTAATCACACTCACTATAGACCGAACATTCTTCTCTACAACCACGACCACTTCCTTTACCTTTCCTCCTGTTACATCTGTAATATTTTATCTTGCTCGCCCTCTCATCTTCTCTGATCTTTCCTCCTGTTCCACTTACGCCTTACCACATTTTTCTACCGTATAAAACCCATTATTTTTCTACGTCTCTTCAGTTTTGAAGGAGATTTGTTTTGGATTCAAAACATTAATTCTGTTTCTGTCTCCACAGATGCTGTGGAATTTCTCGCATTTTCTGCAATGTATCTGATAACAATGTGCTAATTGAGATGTTGATGTTTAATTCATTATATTCGCCATGTGTTAGTGAGTATACTACAATCATTGGGAGATAGTTAGGAATTTAATTTCTCAGTGCTATGATTAGTGTAACCACATTTGATTTTTTATTTGTTAACACTGAACCAAGTAACTTCTACACAAAGAGATAAACAAAACTGTTCCAATTAACACAGCAACTAAAAACAAAAGATTTGAAAAATACAGGGGTATTTGATAATGTTTTTGTATCTGACTGTGACTGGATTTCACGCTCAAATCTGGAAACCACTCTGACACCAGATTTATAAATGTCAAAATGACTTCCCTTTTCTTCATGCCACCCCTTTGTAATCCCATCTCTGTGATTGTGAAAGCTGGAATTTCATTGACCTGTTCGATTATTATCTGTGCCAAACTGTAGTACTTTGTTGGACCATGTGACTGGAAACCAAGTCACTGAGGCTTTCTGTTGTTCCCAGCCTTTATAAAGAAGCAGAGAAGGATGGATGTTCAACCCATTGTCACATTTCTTTTGAAAAGCATCTCCACTAGCTCCACTTCTTTACCTTTCCCACACATCCCTTTTCAATTTCCCACAGGTCATCAGGTAATAAATTCCATCTTTGCCAAATTGAGATCCATTTGCTGAAGAATCTACTCAATCTCTTTATCTACCTTTATCAATGGCTACAATAGTCCCATCAACACTTCCGAAAACATCATTTAACCTTCAATCAGTGGCCAAATGAGAAATGTGGCTTGGCCTTCGACCTTGAGTTAATGAATACAGTAAATAGTTTGTGTTGATAGAGATTGGTGGGGGACACCACTTGTCACATTCTGGTAATTCAATACATACTTCTTAATAAATAGAAACTGAAAGAACTGCTAATGCTGTAAATCAGGAACAAAAACAGAAGTTGCTAGAAAAGCTCAGCAGATCTGCCAGCATCTGTGAAGAAAAATGTTCGGCAGAAGGGTCACCAGACCCAAAACATTAACTCTGATTTCTCTTCACAGATGCTGCTAGACCTGCTGAGATTTTCCAGCAACTTCTGTTTTTTGTTACATACTCATTACTATTACTTTCTGTCTCCTGTTAGTCAGCCAATTTCTTAAATAACTCATGCATAGAGTCCTACAGCACAGAGACAGGCCCTTTGGCCCAAACTGGTCCGTGCCAATCAAAATGTCCATCCACGCTAACCCCATTTCCCTGCACTTGGCCCACATCCTTCTAAACCTTTCCTATCCATATATTCAACCAAATGCCTTTTAAATATTGTTAAGATACCCACCTCAACCACTTCTGCTGGCAGCTCATTCCATACGCGTGCCACCCTCCGTGTAAAAAAGTTGCCCCTCAGGTTCCCATGTATTCTTTCCCATCTTACCTTAAACTGATCCTTCTAGTCCTCGATTCCCCAACACTGGGAAAAAGACTCAGGGCATTCACCCTATCCATGCCTCTCATGATCTTATACACTTCTATAAGATCCCCCGCCTCAGTCTCCTGCACTCTAAAGAAAAAAGTCCTAGCTTGTCCAACCTCTCCCTATAACCCAGTCCCTTGAGTCTTGGCAACATCCTTGTAAATTTCTTCTGCACTCTTTCCAGTTTAATAACATCCTTCCTATAGCAAGGTAACCAAAGCTAAACACAATACTCTAAGTGCGGCCTTACCAACATCCTGTACAACTGCAACATAACTTTGCAACTTCTGTACTCAATGCCCTGACAGTTAAAGGCCAGTGTGCCAAAACCCTTCTTCACTGCCCTGTCTACGTGTGATTTCACTCCCAGAGAACCATGTACCAGAACTCCAAGGTCCCTCTCTTCCACTAGACTCCTTAAGGCCCTACCATTCACCACGAAACTCCTACCTGGATTTGACTTTTCAAAATGTGACACCACACACTTATCTATATTAATTTCCATTTGCCATTTCTCAACCCACTTCCCCAGCTGGTCAAGATCCTGCTGCAATTTCTGATAACCTTCCTCACCATCCACGATACCACCTATTTTAGTGTCATCCGTCAACTTACTAATCATGCCTCGTATAATCTCATCCAAGTCAATGGTAAGATAACAAACAGGAATGGGCCCAGCACCGATCCCTGAGGCACACCACTAGTCACAGGCCTCCAGTCAAGCAAGCATCCTTCACTATTACCCTCTGCTTCCTACCATCAAGCCAATTGTGTATCCAATTTGTCAACTCTCCCCGGATTCCATGTGATCTAACCTTCCAGAGCAGCCTACCATGTGGAACCTTATCAAAGGCCTTACTGAAATCCATATCGACCACGTCTACTGCCCTGCACTTCAAAGAGCTCTAACAAATTTGTGAGGCATGATCTCCCACGCACAAAGCCACGCTGACTACTCTTAATCAAACCCTGTCTTTCCAAATGCATATATATCTTATCCCTCAGAATATTCTCAAGTAAGTTATCTACCACAGACATTAGACTTACTGGTCTATAATTCCCATGCTTTTCTTTGCAGCCCTTCTTGAATGAGGGCACAACATTTGCTACCCTCTAGATTTCCAGGACCTCACCCATGGCTAACGATGATGTAAATATATCAGCCAGGGCTTCTGCAATTTCTTCCCTAGCCTCTTGCAGGGTTCTTGCATATATCTGGTTAGGACCAGGAGATTTATTCACCTTCTTACATTCTAATACTTCCAACACCTCCTGTACTGTGATATGGATTGTGCAATACATTTCCAATTTTTGAACTCACAACTTTAGAAAAAAACCTCTTAGACGTACTTCACAGGACATTTTCCAGAAGTCCACATGCTGACAATCTACAGACAATCCAGTGTCCATTCACTGAGGCATGAAATTACAAATTAGAGGTAACATTACCATCGTCCTACCCAACCATAGGACTGCTCTCACATGAGGGAGAGAAACTGGTGATGGTTTAACCTGAAGGTCTCCATGCCTCAGGTGAGGGTTGAGAATGAGGGCCCTTCTGGTAAATTTGGCCAGTGTGGGAATTGAATCCAAGCTGCTCACATCACTCCACATCAGAGAGCAGCTATAGAGCCAACTGGGCTAACTAACTTCTGTGCAGGCCCCACATAAAAGGTTGGTTAACAAAATTCTGACTCACGGGGAATTGCAAACAAAATTAGGGAGATGTGGAAAAGGTTCTCTTCCAAACTGGAGGCTGACAATCAGTGGTATTCCCAAAGGTCAGTGCCGGGAGAAACGTGTTTTTATATATCACAAAATGAGGGGAAATCTCAAGATTTGCTGATGATGCCACCAGAGAGGAATAGCAATAAGCAAGATTATACTAATGGAGAACAGGGATATATTTGAGTGGCAAAAGGGCAGGCGAGTGGCAAATGGAATTTTAAACCTTTTACCAGACATGGGTGCTGCTGGCTGGCCAGTATTTATTGCCCATCTCTAGTTGCCCTTGAGAAGGTGGTAGTTAGTTGCCTTCTTGAAATGTTGCAAAAGAAGAGCATCCCACCTCAGCTCTTCTGTTTCTCAGAAATGTCTGTCTCTGGATTGATCGATGTACCTGCAGGCTGACCCAGTTTACTCTGACTGTCTTGTTGAACAGTGTCTGGAAGTTTGCTCAGTGACATGGCACCTGAGGAAAATGTAGGGGCTAAAATCCATGGGACATTTTGCTCATGTTTAGTATCTGTTAGACTGACAGCTGTTTGAAAATTCCACACTTATCCCTTTTGTTTGTCTTCAAGAATTAAGAGTTAATGGACAAAAGTGTTCATACTCCTAAAGTGAATCTCTACGAGAGAAATCTGTTTTTTCCCTTTTATCTTGTGTGTGTGTGTCTGTGTATGTGTGTGTCTTTGTGTGTGTCTGTGTATGTGTGTGTCTTTGTGTGTGTGTGTGTGTGTGTGTGTGTGTCTGTGTCTGTGTCTGTGTGTAGGTATGTGTATGTGTGTGTGTGGGTATGTGTGTGTTTTGGCTAATTTAGCGGAGTAAAAATTTATATTTTCATATTATAAATTAAGTGTATTAACCAGATTTGTATTGCCATTGAATATATTTTGTTTTATAATAAATCAATCATTTTGAAATGACTGAAAAACATTGTTAATGTATCTATTGGCTTTAAATCAAATACACAGAGTGATCTGCCATATCAGTTTGCCAATCAGCCAGTCCATTTGTGTTGTAGGTTAAAGGAGGATTGGTCTGACAGACAGAACAGTGGCAAATAGAATTTAACACTGAAAACTGGGGTGGGGT